GGGTTGGAAATGATTTAATGTGATTGATCATTAGTGGTATAAAGTAAATGTAAGTGAATAGTGTATTTGCTGAAAATTAATATCAATGAATTATTGCATGTTTGGGCAAAAATAGAAAACTCTTTACAAGCAATTGCACCCTTGTTCAACTTGTGTTGATTGACTATTAGTGGTGTTCTGTTTATTCTCTTAAACAGTAAAAATGCCTGAAGCTTTTTACTCTCGGGTTTGCAGAGTGACAGATTGCACAAAGTTCTTGATTTCGTGAGCACTGTACATGATCTTTGTGCTGTTCTTGGTGTGGACTTCTTTACTACTGTTACAGAAGTGCATCCTAGCCTAAACGATTCTCGTGGTGTACAATCGAAAAGTATAAGTGATGATACACTGTCTAGATTGGCTAAGACTGTTTTAGCCCTGAAGGAAGATAAGAAGAAAAGGTTGCAGAAGGTAATGACATGATCCTCAATTTGATTTTAGTTTTTTTGTCAAAACTGGTAACTAAATTAATAATTTCATTTACTACACTCTTACACTATACAGAAATTCCATCAACTCTAGGATCTATCTTATTGGACAGTGGACACCAATATTGTAGCTTTCATTGTACAGAAAACGCAACCTATGTTCTGATTCCCTTTTTTTCCTTTCTTTCCCCACAAGAGTGTTTTCGACTTCTATAGTTTTTACTTGCTAACCAATTAGCATTTATGAAATTATACTTGATTGTATCAATTAACTATGTACAATTTTGTTTCTTGACCGCTATCTCCATGTACAGCTACAAGAGTTGGCAACTCAGCTTATTGATCTTTGGAATTTGATGGACACACCCGCAGAGGAGCGCAGCCTCTTTGATCATGTAACATGTAATATTTCAGCTCCAGTGGATGAAGTTACTGTGCCTGGGGCTCTTGCTATAGACATCATAGAACAGGTATGAAATTCTCTATGCTTAAAACTTGAGTTTTACTCAGGTGAATCATTCCAGTCGATTCAATCATTTCTATGTTTTTCTCTTTCTAAATCAAAGGCTGAAGAGGAAGTTGAGAGACTTGATCAGCTGAAAGCTAGCCGAATGAAGGAAATTGCTCTTAAGAGGCAAGCTGAACTTGAGGAGATATTCGCTCATGCTCACATAGAGATTGACACTGAGGTTGCCCGAGAGAAAATCTTGTCACTAATCGACTCGGGTAGCATTGAGCCTACTGAGCTATTGGCTGACATGGAAAATCAGATCATGAAAGCAAAAGAAGAGGCAGCTAGCAGGAAGGACATATTGGATAAGGTTGAGAAATGGATGTCAACTTGTGAAGAAGAAAGCTGGCTTGAAGACTACAATAGGGTAATTGTTATTCTTATTATTATTATTATTATTATTATTATTATTATTATTATTATTATTGTTATTATTATTATTATTATTATTATTATTATTATTATTATTATTATTATTATTATTATTATTATTATCATAAAATATTGTAATGTTTCCAATTTGGTTATTTTCTTCACCATTAAACACCTGGCAAGTATTATAAGAGACCGACCAGGTGCTTTGTTGACTCAGGTTCTCCCTCGAAGTATATGCTTTTTGGTAAAACTATTACTTATTTTATTGAAGTTTTGCTAATATCTCACAACGGTTTTTGGTGATGACATATATTCTCTATTACTACTAAACATTTCCTGAGCAACTGAAGTGCCTTATTTGGAGACCAGTGACTATAGAGCTCGACTTCAATCTTCCGTTTCAGTTAACTAATTGTAGTTAATGTTTAATCCTGATAAACAGGATGACAACAGATATAATGCCAGTCGAGGTGCACATTTGAACCTGAAGAGGGCTGAAAAGGCACGAATTTTGGTCAATAAAATTCCAGGTACATCTTTCTTCGGGAAGATTCTCATTATCCACTACTCAACATATTTTATTCTCATGATTTTATTTATTTATTTATTTTTGGTTCTCGGTACTGTAGCTCTTGTGGATGGGTTAATTGCAAAAACTCGTGCTTGGGAACAAGATCGTGGGATCACATTCAGCTATGATGGTGTTCCCCTACTTGCAATGCTAGATGAGTATGTAATGCTCAGACATGACAGAGAAGAGGAGAAGAAGAGATTGAAGGTTAGTTTACTTTTCTCCCTAATTGCCTTGATTTTTGCTTCCAGACAGCCACTTATTGGAGTAAAAATATTACACTTGCATAAATGATAGTGTAAATCAGGTGTATATATCCAACGCTGCATGATTTTCAATTTAACTTCAATAATTGTGTTTTACACACACCTTTTTCAAATTTGTCATTTTTTGTTTCACAAGGATTAAAAGTTAATGTAGTTATGTATATGTTATATTCAATGACTATTTTACCCCTTTCTATCATTTCTGAAACTATTATTAATGAGTAGTTTTTTTTATTCAAACTAGGAATTAAAATGTAAAAAATGCAACTAATGTTTTCTGGCTTTCCTCGAGTGATGGATAGAAGGAAACAAAATGCATTTTGAATAATGATAGATAGCGTGTAACGGAGGAAGTAGTCTGAAAATTATCCAGACAAGTCAAATATGCTTCGAAGATTGAGGGAAAGTAGTTTGATAATTATTCAGCCCTAGTTAAATAGGATTCGAGCTCCAGTTCGGTACTCTTGTACATGTTTTGTTATTACTTTTTTTTT